GCCAAGAAGCAGCTGGAACTTGGGCCAGATTGGGCTGCATCCTGGATGTGCTGAAGATTTTGAGATGTTGTATGTTAATTGCCATTATGCTGTTTATTTTTATTGATTTATGCTAATTTCTGTTGTATATTATATGAGTTTTGCTTTGCACTGTTGTTGTCTTGTAAGCCACCCTGAGTCCCTCCGGGGAGATGGGGTAGAATATGAATAAAGTTGTTTATTATTATTATTATTATTATTATTATTATTATTATTATTATTAATTTTCCGGGCCTTGACATTGGGCCAGTGTGGGAGGCTTTTGATCAGGCCTGGGCCAACTTTGGCCCTCTTTCTAGGTGTTTTTGTTGGGCGAGTGGGCTTATTAACCCTCAAAGACCCTCCTCATAAATGCACAGCAGAGTAACTTATGAGCAGCAGCGTGACCCAGCACCAGGAGCCCAAAGTGCAAAAAGAACAAAAACGCACACAGACCAATGTGATCTCTTCCTTTGGAGGCTTTTTCTTATAGCAAAATAATTTGGCGCACTATTCACAACAACAAGGTTTCCATAACACAAATGAAGTTCTTTATACTTCCTTCTTTCTTCCACGCTGGGCTTCTTTCTCATGCAGAGCCTTTTCATTTTCACAGAGCCTCTTCTCACACTAAACTTACACAGGAGCTTTTTACACACAGCAGACTTCACACTGGAGCTTTACACACGAGACCTTCAACCCGGGGCTTCTCTCACTGAAGCCTTCTCATACCAGGCCTCTCACACACTGAGGCCTACTAACTCTGAGGTTTACCTCACACTGAGGCCTCTCTCAGACTGAAGCCTCCTCATACTGAGGGCAACTAACACTGAGGCCTACTAAGCTACAGGCACACCTACTTATATTGAACTATCGCTTTGGCTGAGTCATTGCATCCATTGAAACTTTCCAGTGCTTGACTCACATTTTTGTAATTAAAAAGACTTTGTTCATTTTAAATATTTCTGACAGTTTTGGACTTCAACTCCCATAAACTGGTTGGGATTTTTGGGAGTTGAAGCCCAGCATATGGAGGGCCAAAGTTTGCCCATGCCTGTTTCTCATTGTTAGCTTCCCCACAGAGTTTGCAGGATTCCTGGGCCAGGGCCTCCTGCTTGACCCCACCTGCCTATACTGAGGGTGGGGGGGGGGTGGCTGGCATTCCTGGCCTCATCCTCCCCACTTCCCACCAGATATCCACCTTCCCTTTTGGTCCGGTTGGAGAAAAGAGTTCTGGGAGGCTGGATGCCCACCTCTGTGTTTCTTGATGGCAGAAGAGAATTGGGTGACCCTGTGTTGAGATTAACTTCACAATTCAGCAGCAGATCAGTTGCACAACTTCAGCGCTTTCCAGTCGCTTCTTCCTGCACAGTATTTTCAGTCAACTGCTCCCACAGCCTGCAGTCACCTCTGGAACTCTTTTACAGACACTTGAGCACATGGCCGGCCATGGTCGGTTTTACCATTGTCCTTCCCCCAGTCTAGATGACATTACAAACTTACCACAGCACACAGTTTTAGCTTGTCTTAGCAGAGAGGTTCTTTTAATTACATATAGCCTTCGACGAACAACATCTCAGCACAAGGAGAAATATACACTGTACATGACTTCCTTATATACAAGTCTATACATTTACACATAGCAGTCTCTGATTGGTTCCCAACTCATTGACTTAACTCAGACCCAGGATTAC